CTTACCCCCCCAGCGCGGAAGGCGGCCCAAACTAACCCACTGCCCCCCCCCCCTTGCCCCCCGCAACAGCCCCGCCCTCCCATCCACTCAGTCACTCACCAGTATCCACTGTACTGCCTTCTTTCTGGCCATCCCCCTCCTTAGCTCCCACTCACACTGCGCAATATGGAAAAGGGGAATCTCCTCCATAAGCTGGGCCACTTCTCATGCACTGTTGACCTCCTATCTGAGCACAGTCCTCCCCTACATCTTTCTGAGTGCCAAAATTCCAACCAAGCTTTTTCTTTTTTGTTGCCATCCCACACTGTCTTCTCTCTCTTTCTCTCGGCCTCCAGGCCATGCAGGCAACCAGCTTCTAAAGGTGGGCCACACTTTCATGGTCCATCTCTTACAGCTGCAGTGATCCTAGAGCCCACAGTTTATCTCTCTGCTTCCATCTCACCACTTTTGCTACTCTTTGCCTATATTTCAACTTGCATCTCCCTGTGCCATCAATTTTGCCTGATCTCTTTTCCTGTCCATAAGCCCACTTCAATACACCTTCTGCATACATCCTTTCCTTTCCTTTCCTTTCCTTTCCTTTCCTTTCCTTTCCTTTCCTTTCCTTCCCTTTCCTTTCCTTTCCTTTCCTTTCCTTCCCTTTCCTTTCCTTTCCTTTCCTTTCCTTCCCTTTCCTTTCCTTTCCTTTCCTTTCCTTCCCTTTCCTTTCCTTTCCTTTCCTTTCCTTCCCTTTCCTTTCCTTTCCTTTCCTTTCCTTCCCTTTCCTTTCCTTTCCTTTCCTTTCCTTCCCTTTCCTTTCCTTTCCTTTCCTTTCCTTCCCTTTCCTTTCCTTTCCTTTCCTTTCCTTTCCTTTCCTTTCCTTTCCTTTCCTTCTTAGTTTATTACAACCATCAAGCTCCATCCACTTCAAATCCCCCATCTGCCTTACCTCCTGCAGCCCAAAACTTTTCATCCTCTGCACCCATTCCCAGCCTCCAACACCTCACTAGCTTTACCAACTCCACAAAATATAAAACTTCAAATCTTCTTTTGCACTAACAGCACACAGGGTGCCATCTTTTTTTTAAAAAAGTGAACATCTGTGCTAAAAATAGTGAGGTTTTTCTTTAAAAATCAGCATTAATTAAAACAAATTCAACCATTTTTCATCTATCCAAATAATTGGCCAGACATTATAATTTTACTTCTTCGAACTGCAAGATTCCACAAGTTCGGGATTTTGGAAGCTCCAATCCCGGAGGGTCACAATCTTAAAATATATATATTTTTTTTTAATCCAGGATGCTTCACAGGAAATTCAAAAGCTCAATAAAGTAAAAACATTCCAGTATTCCAAACACATACGGAAGTACCAAGGTGTCAACTCCAAGGCGGTTATATAGTTGGGTTTCCTTGGCATATGTTGCATCATGAAGTACTGTCATCTTCTTCAGAGCCTCTGCAAGCTTGTTAGCCTTGGGGACAAGACCTGAGAAACAAAGGAACACAAAAATCATGAATAAAATAATGTTCACTGAATTTTTATCTGAACTTCGAGACTGGGATGCAGCTCAGTAGTAGAAACACAGTTTGCATGAAGATAATTCCAGGTTCAATCCTTGCATCTCCAGTTAGGGCTAGAAATATTCTTGCCTGAAACCCTGAATAGTCATTCCAGTTATTGAGAAAATAACAAGCAAAAGTGGATCAATAACAAAGGTTTACTATGCTATTCCATGGGAGCCAAAAAGAGAATCCATATTAAACCAATATCTGAAATCATAAAATGTTGTTCAAGCATTTTACTTATCTAAAACTCAAAACAGGAAAGAAATAAAACAGGGGAGACAAAAGAAAGTCAGGCTATCATCTGCAACGGATCCCTACACTGAGCTTACATAGTCACATTACCGCTTAGTGCAATGTCTGAATCAGCCACTGTCTGTACTTTTGGATCCCTCCAAAACTCTGAATGACCAACAGACCTTCAGTAGGTTTAGGCTCAGATTTAACTTACTTCAGAAGAATCCTGAAATGTTTAGAATCAACCCATTTCATTATCAGAGTACTGTAAACACTCGGCTTCATTCCTTGTTGATAGCTCGGCCCAGATTAATATTGTTCTCAAACAGTTTTAATTTGCCATAGGATCAGAAAAAGAAACTTGGTCTTCCAGTTCCTAAAAATTTACCACTGTTTATATAAAATAAAATGTTGCATATTATACAGTGCAAATCTGTGTGTCAAAAATTAGGTTTTCAGGTATGCAAGTGTCTATTAATAATAAACATTTTTTCCATGTCAGCCCTTCCCATGGAGACAGTGCCCTTTAAGTGAGGGGCTCACCCTGCTCAGGAACATCTTACTCACTTAGAACAGTGCTCACTCTCACTATTACACAAGCAGCTGTTGCAATCGACTAGCCAAATAGCAAAGCTACTTTAAAACTTCCAGAGCTAAGCCTCCAGGTTTTCTTCCTTCTGTCTATCAGAAGAAAAAACCAATCTAAAACACCAATTAATAATTATTTTTATTATTTTATTTGGATGCATCTAACACTTGAGCCAAAGAATCCTTCTGCAAGCTGCCCTGTATTTCCAAAAAGTCAGGAGGGGAAATGAAAGTTGGATCAAGAAGCAAATTGTGTATTAATGATTGACACACATTCCTAGGCAAAAACACATAAACATGCAAAGTTACTCACTGAGGGTAAAGTAATATGAATGCATATCAAAAGTTCATGCTGAAAAGTGACTGATTTCAGTGTGACTTATTTCCTGCTAGTATGGGGCAAGCCTATGCGTAACAAGTCAGGAAAACAAGCAGAGCATGGTTTCTTGCATTCTTATCCATCTTTTACCAGCAGTGGCCATAGCAGGGATCCTTATTTTTTTCTGCAGAACGGTTATATCTTTGTGGTGGGTGTGTATGTGTGTGTGCGTGCAAAGGGCCTATTGGGGTGAGTGGATACAAGTTGTCTCTAAGTCTATGCCTGGTCTCCCCTGTGTTGTACTTGTCTCTACGTATGCATATGTACACTGCAAAGTATGAAGCAGGCGACATTCCCTCAGCTCTGGGTCATGCATTTGGGAGGGATGGGGAAGGGATGGAGCTTTCCCACCCCTGGATCACGTGACCCAAAAGGAAGCAAGTAGCAGGCTTAGAATGGAGGGTCAGCAGCATTCTGAGCCAATGCCCAACTGCTCTCCCCTAGGGATGCCTTGGGGAATATTTCTGGAAGAGATTTCTCCATTGCTCCCACTTGGATCCAGCCCATTTGCAAATTTGATCTTTCTTTTGTTGCCTTGCCCCACTACATCAAACTTTGTGTTGTTTTTAGAGAGTTATCTTGCTGACAGAGTCCCAGGCTCCTTTATGTTATTTTTTCCAACAAGAAATTAAAGTCTCCCTCAAATCATGTTCAACTTCTGGTGGCTTCATGGACATCCCCATATAGTTTTGTTGGCAAGGATGCTGAAGCATCTATTTGGGCAATCCTATGCATACTTAGCTCCACATTCACCCAATGAACTCATGAGACCTATTTCCAAATAAATATACCTAATTCAGCTAAGGTCAGTTTCAGGAGGGCAGCCATAGGCTATGATCTCAGGAGTGGTCAGGTGGAAGAAATTCTATAAGTGAGATCAAGATTCTTCAGTTTGCCTTCTCCAGTGCAGGCAAACAATACGTTCTACCACTGAATTACAAACCTCCCCCAAATTAGCTGTGGCCAATAGGTGCGCTGGCGGGGAGAGAAAGAAGTTGTACACTGGCACAACTGAAGAGCACCAGGTTGGAGAGCTTGCCTTAGAATATACCCCCGTTGGATAGGATTCCCTCAGTCAGGCTAAAATTCAATAAGCGCATCACCCCGTGATGGGGGAAAGCGCCCCCTGTTGGATTTCTGCCCGCCTAAGAGGCACGTACAGGGCAGGATCCGCGGGGAGAGAAGATCGCCCCTCCTGCACTGCAGAAAAGCTCCGCGGTGCTCCGCCCGCTACTCAGCCTCCCCGAGCGCCCCTCGCTCACTCACCCTCTGACTGGGGCACCATCCCTATAGTCCCCCCGGTGTTGATCACCAGCACCCACATTTCGGCCTTGCTGCTGCATCCGCCCCCAATTTCAAGGGCCGGAGCGGGCTCGGTGCACGAGAGAGCTCTGCCCAGCTCGCCGTCCTCCGCCTCTGTCATGACGGTTCCGCCGCAGGGCAAGAAGGGTGGCGGTCCAGATGCCCCAGCCGGGCGAGCGGACCTCCAAATACCGGCTCTTAGCGCCGCCCCTTTCCGGGCTCGCCCTCTCTCATTGGCCAGGGCTCGCCCTACCTCCCGAGTTCTGCAGGGGGGAAGCGGAGAACGGGAGGACCCTCTCTGGCTTCCCCCTGTTCAGCCCCTTGGATGCGCGGAGGTGACCCGGGAGGGCGGGTCTCGTTCAGCCCATGAAGCTTGGTTGCCCACCGGCGGTTCCTCCTCCCCCCTCCGGCGATCTACGACCCTGAACTTTTCTCTACGAGCGGAAAACAAAGTGTCCCCCCCGCCCCCGCTCTTGTATTGAAAGCCGGCCGTGAGAAACAAGCCGGGGTGGTTTTAAGAGCCGGTTTCTCTCTTAAAACGTCCCCCGAGAAACCTCAAAGTGAAGCCCCCGTTTGTCTTTTGTCCTCGTTTCAGTAATTAAGTTTTTCAAAATAAAAATACAGGGTGAAGAAGTCCAAAGTCCAAAGCAGAAGAAGAGGGCAAGGAGGAAGAACAAGTATCCTGCTGGGTCAGACCAAAGGGAGCATTGAGTTCAACGTTTCTTTTTGAACAATGGCCAGAGAGATGCTGCAAGGTCATACCATTCCTGAAGGCGCACGTGTGAAAGCGTCCACATTGGACTGTCATGTGCTGTTATACTGGCGAACAGCCTCTAAACGTTTGGTGAACGTTTATGATGATCTGTTAAACAAGTGTGTTAAAATGTTTGATCGTCTAATAATGGAAGAGTAATTTTTCATTTCAATACCCTAATCAAGGAATTACCAACTCAGGCAAACAATCAAACAATAAACAACAGCCTAATCTAGGAACTACCAAGGAAAAAACAACTCCCCCACCAACACTGATAGGGCGAGCTACTGTACAAAAAGAGAGCAAACTCCACTCCGTTCTAGCATGGAAGATGTTACCTAGCCGGGTAATGAAACGTTTGCAAGAAAACAGCCAACCTCAGAGAAAACCAAGGACTCTACAGTAATCTTTCAATTACCGCAGCATGTTAAAATTCATTCAAATGCATCATGTTGCCTCTACCAAAATAATGAATGCATTTGGCACCCTAAAGGGCTCTGGGATTTAGTGTATTCTATTTTTAACATAGAAAGGCCTAATACTGTATATGTCCCAGTAGCACCCAAAATGTGTATCATTACTTTTGTAAGTATTTTTTTAAAAGTCCTCCCCCTGCTTTCAGCACTGTTTTCTTTTCCATAATAAATCCATCCCTTGAGCACCCTTCCTTTTTAATGACTGTACAGAATACGCACAATTTGTACGTGTCCTGTCCTTTTCTTTTTACTTTCTTCCATATATTTTACTGGGAACAATTTAAGATGTTTCACTGCCTGAGGCGGGATGTATGTAGGTAAGTAAGCACATAATGGATTTTTAGGGCTGTCTACCTCAAACAAAGTAGCTCTAGGCAGCATGTGCAAATGGACAAAGAATAATTTCCTCAGATTTCTCTAGGGGAGAAGAAATTCTCCTACAGCTGCTTAAAGCCCACATTTATCAGTTTCAATCGCGAACTTCCCTTCTTTGTTTTAAAGAGGGCTTTAGTTTGCTTTCATTTTTGTTTTCATTTACCACTACCAGATAGTCCCCAGTTTAAGAACGAGTTCCGTTCCCAAGGTCTGCCCTTAAATTTGTATGTAAGCCAGAAAAGTATGATTGTGTTGTCAAGGTTTGCTTGGTTAAAGCAGGAATCCGTCCACTATGTCTTCAGGTCCTAGCTGAAGAAAGTACTCAGACACAATAGTTAGTTTTCAGTGTCTATTTGCATACATACAGCAACATACAGAAGTCCTCTGACAAACAGCATACACCAGTTCCACAATGGTCCAATGAGTCATTATAACAGTATTCAATCCAAGTTCAATGTAGAATAGCGAGCGGGAGAGAGATCAAGAGAAAGTATACAGATACAAATGTACATTTATACATCCAATGACCAATAGGAACGTATATTGCATCATCCTAGTATGTCAGTATAATACATATTTCATCATCTTCTTTCATCAGCTTCCTTTCATTCTTACATCAGCTTCCTTTCAGCTCTAATGACACAGCATTATTTCTGCTGATTAATGTTCTGTATTGTAAATTCTGATGTGTATTTCTACATGTATAAGTAGTATTGTGTAATGAACTCGAACTATTGTGTATTTAATTTGAATTTTGCTACAGTAGGCTCCATTCTTAAATGTGGGTCATCTGTAAACCAGGAATTCTTAAACCGGGGACAACCAGTACTGTATTGCTATTGACAACAATAGCAACAACAGTGTTGGAGCCTTTGCTCCACAATGGCTTGGACCATTTTTCTGGAATATTATGAAGAGGCAGGACTAGTACCAGCTGCCAAAAAAAAAAAAAAAAAAAACCAAGGGAACGAAGAAAGACACTAAACACTAAGGAAAAAATATCATACACAGAGCGTTCTTTTCCAAAGTGGATATTTTGGATATTTTATCAGAAAAAAAATTATTTTGAGAAATTTCATTGCAGCTCATGGTGTCACTTTTTCCTCATTTTCCTGTAATTTTTACTTGCTGTTGTTGCATGACATATTTATTGTTACCTTAATTTACTGATTCCAGGTGTCTGGGTTCACACAATATAACAACCAATACACTAATTCAACTAGCTGAGTTTATACAGCACTGAAATGTAGCTGACCAGTGTGTGGTTTGGTGAATCATCTGAAAATAGCACTTTTTTTTTTACATAGCCTCTTACTTGACTTCACTTTGTTCTTTACATTTCTCCATCCTCATGCCTTTTAATTTCCCTCATTTATTCCTGATCCATCTTATCCACTCATAAGGTCTACCTAGGGAAAAAAGCAGGCTGGGGAATATTTTACCTTGTGTCTAAACCAAAATGAAAACTGTTGTGTTGAGGAAAGTGGAAGAATAAAAAAGACTGATGTGATTATTAAGTTATTAGAGAAGATCATTGATTTCTACCAATAATCCTTCACTTCCCTCCTATAAAATAATGTTGGTTCATGAACTAACTGAAACCAAAACTTTTAAAACTAGCAAAACCCAAAGACTCCTGGACTGTCATAATGAACGTCTGGAAGGATTAAAAAAAAAAAAACTACCACCAAAACAAAACATTTCTGAAATTTAGTAGTCAGAATCAGATTATTAGATTATAGTAACATATTTTAGTAGCTCTTTTTGTCTAGCGATAACACAATGGCATTTAAATTTCCTAACGAAGTTTAATAGAAATACTGTAATTTTTAAGCAACTAAGTGATATAAATTATCATAAGAAATATTATAGAAATAACATAATTTATTGACGATACAGAATTTCCTGTCCTTTGCAACACATATTTGTCAGATACAGAACGTATAAATATATGAATCAACACCACAAATAATGGATCAGAGTTTCTCAAACCACGATCCACAGTATTATTTCCTTTACTTTGTTGTACGTATATTTGCCTTTCTTTTGATCAGCACAATAAAGTTTTAAAAATCTATGTTCCACAGTGCATATCTGCAGTCTCTGAACAATCTGAAGGTATTCTGCAAGCATCTTCAAAAGCACTGAAGGGCCTACTACCTTTTCCTTTGCCAGACCAACTGTGTTGGACTATTTTCATTCAGCCTCCAACTTTCCTTTCTTGGGGGCGATTGTTGACAAGGTGAATGGACTACTGCTTCAGAAGGTCCTAGAAAATACCTATTATCTAAACCCTTCTTATTCAGGTTCCAGATCAGGACATAGTACTGAAACGACACTGCTTGCACTTGCTGACGTCCTTTGGTGGAGCCACGATGGGGACAATACAACCTTCCAAGTTCTGTTTGATCTCTTGGAGGCTTTCAGTATCATTTACCATGATATCCTTCTGGACCACTGACAGGGACTAGGAGTGAGAGGCATAGTGTTCCAGTGGTTATCCTTCTTTCTTTGCGGTCTAGTCAGTGTTGGCAGCCATGGGCTTACCACAGTATGCCCATATAACATCTTAGCTTCATCTGCCTCCCTACACAGTCTGGCAGAGTCAGCATGCTCCAAGTCCCATCAATCAAATAATGCCATCTGGTGGGACCCAGGAAGCAGGCCTTCTCTGTTGTAACCCCTGCCTTCTGGAATGGCATCCCCCCAGAGATTTGTATGACCCCTCCACCCTGACCTTATTTAAACAAACCCTTAAGACTTGGCTCTTTCTCCAGTCCTTGGGCTAGAGAGGATTGTGGGCCCCTTGTGGGTTGCTTGATCTGTGAGACTGTGGTGGTTGTTTTTCCAAGATGTTTCTTTTGTATTCTGTGGACCACATTATTTTAAATGTTGTATATTGTTTGCCACACAAAGTCTTGATTATGTTAAATAATAATAATAATAATAATAATAATAATAATAATAATAATAATA